TTTGAATCTAGCTTTTTCCATCTCCCGTTTTTTTTCTCCTCTTAACTTGATTTTTGCACATAATTACCCATTTTTCTCATTTTCTTTTTATCATATAGTCATCTATTGTATATAATTAGCCGCGCTAGCCATTATTTTAATTCTTCTAGCGTATATTTGTATATAATTCTTCTAGCGTATAGTCATCTATATTAATTGATTTTTTTATTCTAGTTTTTATTATCTCTATGTCCTCAACTTTACTCTCTACGTTAAACACCATCATAATTAGCATTTCTTGCGATATTAAATCTTCGCCCTCTAAGTAGTCGTTTATATTTATCTTTGTTTCGGTATTTTGTTTATCAAACCTCTTCTCAATATTTTTAAAATACGATATAACACTGTAGAGTGTAGGAACCCTCACCAAGTCTGAAATATTTATGTGTTCTGTAACAACAAAATTTTTTCTGTATTTTATTTTTAATCAAGCCTTATCGTAACCATTACCTTTCCCCTTCTCGGATATCCTAATTGCTTCTAAAGTAACAAATATATCCAAAATTTCTTCTTTGTTTAATTTGCTTATTTTATTGTTTATCACAATTTTTATGTCTTTCCCCATTATTTCTATGTTACATTACGGGACATTCTTAACCAGAAAAAATCTACACAATTTTATTTAAAGATTACCTCTTCTTTGAATTTTAGTAATGATGGATATAAGTCCTGAGAAATTACTAGGAATTCATCTAAGTTTATTTTTAAACTCATATGAATCTTAGTATTCTCATTGAAAATATTCATGGAATAAAACTCCTCTAGTAGAGTCTCCAGATCATCATCCTTCATTTCATAGTCATCTATTAACAATATATGTCTTTCTTTTCTAGTTAACCCCAAGTTTTTTTGAATCGAGTCTTCTATCAAAGTACTTAAGTAACACTCATCTAATTTTAATAGTTCTTTTGAGAGCGAAGATAAGAAAAAAAAGCCCCACCTAATTCATTTCAGATTTATCATTAGGTTTATCGACAAATCGCTTAATTTTAGGAAATATTCTGATACAGGGTGTGTATCATGTTCTCTTTCCTCTAAAAAAACGAATTTATACTCTGTGTTTAGTGGAACTATTTTTTTCATCTTACTATACGGGACAGATTATTCCCCATATGTAGTATCGATCGCATCTATTATGTCACCATCTGAAGCACTCATAAATGGCCCTCTATAAAGGTTATTACTTAATTGTGTAACTAACTTACCCCTACCTGGCAAATTCCAACTTAAAAACAGTTCTAAAAAAGAATCATGTTTATCCTTAGCAATTTTAAAGTCCTCAGTATTTAAACTAAAAATATCTTGATTTAGATATTTAATCATCGAAATCTCATTTTTTTCTACCCACATATAAGCACCATCACCACTAAATTTCCCCACATCAGACGTAATGACTGTTCCAGGTCTCTTGGCGTTCTCAAGATAAAAACTAGACATCGGTTCCTGTATCCTTTGCGAAGGCCAGGCAATAAAATTGGTATTCTTAGTCCCATGAATAGTATTTCCTTTCTCTTCATAGGTATAATGAGGTGAAATACTCCTTTCACCCTTTACACCTGTTATCAACCCCCTCTCCACCCTCACCATCTTTTTCTCCACCTCAATCTTATCGAAAACTTCTATTCTCTCCTTCAACCCCTTCATTAAGTTGAAGGCCTCATTTTTTGTTAGACTACCCTTCAATCTTGCTTCTGCAATACATTTGGCCAAAGTAAAACCATTTAAATATATTTCACCATCCAATACCTCCAACTTGGTCCACTTAGCCTCTCTATATAGACCACAATAATACTTCTCCAGACCCTCACGAAAATCTGACTCATTCACCACCATGAAATAGTATATAAGTTTGAGACTTTTGACAGGCAGACTCATAAAAAAAAATACAACAGCAATAAAAAGATTTCAGACCCCACCTTTCCTACCGGAAAATATAAAATAGGCTTTTTGAAAGGACTTTATTTTGCAGATCTCTAACCACAAATCGACAACGGTTAATTTCCATACAAAACATTCACTAACTCTAATGACGTAGTAACCATACAAATTTCTTTTAATGTTCAATAGATACCTAAAAAAATAAAAATACTCGGGAATAAATATTACAAGAAATAAAAGAGAGAATATTGGTTTTAGATACATCACCAGAACGACAGTAAGTAGGAATAGTATTTTCTTCAAGTTACTATAAGGGACAAGATTAATTTATAAAGTTTCTGATTTGTCCCTTATAGTAACTACGTTACTATAAGGGACAAATCAGAAAATT